AGCAGTTTGAGTCCAAAAATAAAAATAGAAATGTTAAGCACCATTGATTCAAAGCTAAGAAGAAGAAAAAAATCTTTATAAAAAGGATCTCCTCCAGAGTTTAACAAATGGTTTTGTTTTCTCCTTCAGCTGAATACTCTTTTGAATGAACCTACCAGTGCACCTTTACAACCCAAAACAGCAAATTTCAAGTACGAAACATCCTGATTTCACAACCTTTAATTAGTCTTTGGTTATTTTATGCAGTCCTAATGATAAAGTAATAAATGCATTAATAATGTACTCATTATCATGTTATTTTCAATGTAGATGGAAGTCTTGAAAAATGTCTTGTTTTTTCTTAAGGAGCACATCTAACCAGGTTGATGGTATTATGGGATACATCTTTCAGGATGAAGATGTCATCCAACCAGTCAGCTTCCTAAATGAACTTCGATCACAGACAGGTTTGTAAAATTTTTGACTTGTGGCGATATTACATTTTTTATTGTTTTTTTTTCTTCGCTGTTAATCACTAGTACTTATTATTTCTATTCATATTTCTTATTTTAGTAGTGACAACTACACCAGCCAGTTCTACAATGACTCCTACAATCCCAATGTAAGGTTTTGTTCCTTGTAATAGATACTAGTTCAGAAAGTTACATTTCAAACCCACAACCCTCAACAATATGCATAACAAGTGGTGCCCTTTACAGATCTGGATTAGCGGTGGTCACAAGCAGGCTGTTGTTCGACTCCTCATCTCCAGTCCCCAGTGAAGCTCTGGTCCTCACTGCTGTCAACACTCTTCGTGACTCAAGAAAACCACAGTTGGATCCATCAGTGAAAATTGTGAATGTCACCTACGAGAGTAAGTTTCATATTTTGCATTATGAACACTTCAAGCACTGATTAATGTAGGTATTAACTGAAATAATTGATTGTTTCTTTGCCAACAGAACTCTCAGACACCTCATATGCCATCGTCTTTACATTTAATCTGCCCAATATCAGCATTCCTGAAGACCCTGTACTCAAAAACAAGAGCTATGATCAAGTGGAGAATAATGTCAATAATGCAGTAAGCATAATGCATTAATGAATAAACCAGGTTGAGTTCAATGTTAATCTTCTCCAGAGTTTGATAACTGGTTTGGTTTTCTCTTGTAGCTGAATATTCTTCTGAATGAACCGACCAGTGCACCTTTACAACCCAAATCAGCAAACTTCATGTAAAGAAAAATCTGGACTTTCTTGGCTTTTTAAAGGAGTCATTTTTATATAGGCCCAAGACCTAAAACAATATCTATTTTTTTCCCTACAGGAGCACATCTAACCAAGTTGATGGCATTGTGGAATACACCTTCAAGGATAAAGATGTCATCCAACCAGTCAGCTTTCTAAATGAGCTTACTGTACAGACAGGTTTGTGAAAACAGACAGTTAATTAGATTTCTTTGTATTACCGCATTTTAAGGGATTTAATCCACCAAATACTGTATTTGCAAACTTTAATTTGTATGATTATAATTTTTTTTTTACAGTTTTAACTACAACTAGCAGTTTGCCATTAACCACAACTACTCCGCCAATTTTGTAAGTACAAAATTTGTAGCCTGTCCTTTAACTATTGTTTTTATCTTTTTTAATCTGTATTGTCATTATCCTCACAGGCTTGGCAAAGTGCTTATATACATTCGCCTTGTGTTTGTAACACTGGGCCCCCTACCAGATCAGGATAAAATTATTAAGGTGGCTAACTCTCTGCTGGAGTCAAGTCTCTCAACTAAACAAGCAAACAGAGCGCAAACCCTGAGTGATCCTGTGAGCTTTGTTAATGTAACATTTACAAGTGAGTATTTCTCCAGTCATATGGCTGATTTTAATAGTGAATGTTTTTTCAATTTTTGACGTTGAAGTACGCAATGTAATAAATCAATGATTTTTGACTACCTGTATATAACCACCCAACTATTTGCTTCTATTTTAGAAATTAATGACACAGCGTATGGTCTTAACTTTGGATTTGAAATCAGCAATGTGTCCATGTCTCAAAATGTTCAGTTCAGGAATGGAACCTACCTGGTAGTTCAAAACTCTATAAATGGGCTGGTGAGTTGGACACATTTTGATACAGAGACCTTTAACATAAACAAAACCCTGACCTGAATTTTTCTATATTCAACTTATATAAATATCAATAATAATCATACTTTTTGCTGCACTTTTCAGCTGAACAAGATTTTGAGTAATAACTCGGCTCCTCTGATTAATTTCCAACCAGCTGATTTCACGTAAGTTCTGAATGTTGAGCCATTATGCTTTAATGACTAACATGACTTTAACATGACTTCATTGTGTTAAAACTGTGCTGTTACCTGGGTACTACATGAGTTGGTTATTTTAAATAATTATTGACTCTCTAATTGAATATTTTAATGTCCCCACAGAGGTAATTCCACAGTAATTCGGGCCAATGTGGAGTATGTTTTCTCAGAACGTGATGTCACACAGCCCAACATCTTTGTCCAGCAGCTTCTCCAAATTAACGCAGGTATTGCCACATTCACATCTGTTGCTCTTTACCCTGTGACGCTGAACACAGCAGTTTTTTAGTGTATTATTGTATTTTACACAGTGTAAAGTATTGATTTAAAGGCCTAAATGCAATTATTTTTGCAGCTAAATGCAAATGTATTTGTCTGAGTTTCCCTTTTATTTATAACATTTTTGGGAGATTTAAGAATCCACAAAAAATGAATCATGCAACCTGATTTAAACTATTTTAAAATGTCATTCTTCTAAATCATCTTTTTTTTTAAAATGGATACTTTGGATATACATCCACATGTTATTGTAAAGCTGGGAATGTATTTTCTTGACCCACAAATCCATTTTAGCTTTAAATACAGTATGGCTTTTTCTGCCAATATTAGCAACAAAAAAGCTATATAGAGTATTTCACACCTGTGGCAGTAGATTGACAGCACCTAAAATATTTGCAGCTTTGTGCTAATAAGTGTTGCTCTTGGTGTATTTGTTGATCATCTTGGAAAAGTGTTCGTTAATTGCCTATATGTCCACTTCTATATTCTACATTTATTGTGAGATAGTGATTTCACGCCAACTTGGCTGTTTAGAAATTCTGTCCCAAACTGATAGTAAAAGGTTATATTTACCTTTATCTAAGATGTCGTGTTTTAAATGCATTGTTTAAAATTTACAGTAATTCAGAGTTTGAGACTTCTCCATTAATTATTCCATCTTCTTACAGAGAGCAGTCTGACAACCACAGCTTCACCTCCTACAACCACAACGCCATCGACGACTTCACTAGCAACCACGTAAGGCTAATGAGTCAGCTAAGTTGTTTTATAAAGGCCACTATTGTCCATTTTCTGTGCTCACATTTCTTTGTGTTTTTGTTCTTTTTAGGATCAAAAGTGTGATTATTTACATCCGTCTTGAGTTTATCACACTGGGTCCAGCACCAAGTGAGAGTGATGTCCTACAGCTGGTTAAATCTGTGCTGGCCTCAAATCTTACAACTACCTCTAGGGTAGCAACAACTGTGAGGGACCCTGTAATATTGGACAATGTCGTCTATACAAGTAGGTCTATTGTGTTGCTCCCTTTTTGTTGTGTGTACAACATTTGAATGCAAAAAAAAAATACCTGTAGTAATTGTGTAGGTCTGTTAGAAGCTTTTGTGTAAATCTATTTTAAGGCTAATCGATTATAAAAATGTTGACAACCACTTACTATAACAGAACTAAATATTTATTCTTTGTATTTTCAAGAAATCAATGACACCGCATATGCACTCCTCTTCAAATTTAAAATCAGTCAAGTGCCTGTGACAGAGACACAAACAGCTGTGGCCTATAAAGAAATACAAGACAAGATCAATGCACTTGTGAGTTGGAAACACATATATGTGGTTCAGAAATTAAAACTTTTTTAAATAACGCTAACCTATTCTCTATCTTTCTATCAGATGACGCAGATCCTAAAGAGCCCCTCTTCGTTTGTGCTAGTTCCAGCCACTTTCACGTGAGTTCTTCTGATAAACTTCATTGCGCTGAGTAAAAGTATTTCTTAGGGAACATTTACATGAAAACAATGTAATGAAAACACAAGGATTTTATTTTCCCATCAAATGTTTTTTGTTCTGATTATTATGTGGTTAAACCAATCCAAGTTCACATTTTCGCATTTCACATTTTCACAAATTGACAGATCGCGAAATTGAAAAAGCAGGGAGAGGGTGTTGCGGACAAAACTGAAGTGTGGGTTAGCAGTGCCCCCTAGCAGTGCCCCTGCTCTGAAATAAATGCTTGTGTGCATAATATTTTGACAAGTAGATGCCTTGTTAGATCTTTTTAATTTAACCGGAAGAGATATTGATTTGACTTGATTAGGGGTTACTCACACTAAGCTACCTGAACCATGCCCAGGCACGTTTCCCGGTTCGTTTGACAAATGTGAGTGCTCCGAATCTGGCCTAGGCACGGTTCAGTTGGCCGGCGGTGTTCTTTCTATTTGTCCTACGTTGTCAGATTGTCCTACCTCCCATTCAAAAAGTGGGTGGCAAATTTTGATGATGCAATATGTGTAAACTTTAATGTCTATTAGTTTCTATATAAAGCTGTAGTATCGCCCTAGCCTACCTAATCCTTGGAACCATTCAAATACAGTGTTGGTAGCATAATCTAATGGGTAGAAAAAATGTCAGGATATTGACCCTGGCCCAGTTGAAAGATGTGTGCCAGAGCGTGTTTTAGCTGGGCTTTGGCGTGGTATGCTTATAGCGCAATGCAAAGCACGCCTTAGCCCGAAATTAAAGATGCAACATCATTTTTAAGAGACTGTTTCATATGGATTTATAAATCATTCTTACTTTTCAATGAACACAAGCTGTTGTAGTTTATTAAAGACACAAACCCCACACTTCACCTCCTAATTAGAAACCTCCTAATACATGCAGCACAAGGGCTTTTATGATAAATTATGAGCGTCAAAAGTTGTGAATCTGTTTGTCAAAATGTTTGACTGCATGTAACTGCATCCTAAACGACTAAAACAATTTGATTAAAGCAATGTTCACTGTGCTAAGCGAGAGCGCTTCTCTTTCTGTTAAACTGAACAGTCGCATCATCAATAATGTAAGCCTGCTCAGGTTCGGTAGGTAAAGATCAAGTGTGCCGCAAGCCTGCGTTTGAGTGAAGGTCTCGGCCGTTAGATCGCCCCCTGGGGGCTGGCTGCAGTACAAGTCATAAAGCCCGCCTCCTCCGTGTTAATGAAGGAGACTTGAGCCCAAATAAAAAAAAAAATTACACTTGCAATAAAATGTCCCGAAAGATGGTTCTGGTCGATTAAGGCACTGGTTATGGTGCTGAAATAGGTGCAGATCTTCATTTTTGTAAACAGTTTGTTTTTAGCAGTAATTTAATGCTGGGCGTGTCATCGTGATTGACAGCTGTGATTGACAGTTTCTCAAAGCAGCGCGTCTGAGCTTCGGCAGAAGACTGAAGTGTTTTTATTCGATTTCTGTGTTATTTTACCATGACAAAATGAGTTCAGCAGTAAACTATAGTTTCTGACATACATGATCCTGGTGGAACACTGTTTATTCGCTAAGTTCAGGGCTTTTTTCGGGCTTTATTAGTTTGCTGATACACGCCTAACCACCCAGATAGCAAAACACAGTTCCGGCTAGATTCTCGCCTGCCGGAGACTTATCCCTTAGAGCTCAGACTGACTACCTCTGCTGGACCTACTGCGGATGCCTGGACTCACTACCCGATTCCAGCCCGAGTCAATCGAGCCAGATGCGGCGGCCGAGCGAGCCGGCGCTGCCGCATGCGAGCCAGAATCAGCCCGCGACGCCGCGAGTAGGTTATGCGCTGCGGTCCGGAGGTGGCGCGATTTAATATATAAAACCCTCATATTTGTTCACGTTATTACATCCATTTGTGTTGATATGACAGCAAACGCATGCTGAGAAGTTCGGGGGGCGTGGTTGATTTTACATAAAGCGTTTGGTTGGAAGCTCGACTCCGCTCATTTTCGCGGCTCCTCCTCTGGCTCCATCAGACAGTCCTTCTGCGCATGTCAAGGCTCCAATTTCAGCAGTCTTTTGCGACAGTTTGTGCCCGTCAAGCAGGCGTTTTGCCCTCAAGGCGTTCAATGGGAAAAAGGGCTGTCGCGTCGTCCATATTTTTTACAGTCATTGGTAAAGATGTAGTGTGAATGCAGGTCATCGGGGGAGAGGGGAGGGGGACAACCGCGCTTCTGTACGGTTTAAGGCAACCAGGCCTATAGTCTATATAGCCTATAGTACGCCCTTAGATTGAGTGAATGAGATATTTAATATAATTCACCAGAGAATCCTATTTTGTGTGATTCTCATTAAACTAGACAACAAAGTCTGACAGAGTTGTATTGTGCTGTATTTTGAAGCCATAGTATACATGTAAATACAGTCAGAAAGTAGTATCAACCAGTAAACAGATTACGTTAATAAAGTGTACTGTATTGCTATTATCTCACTTCAGATAAATATTAGTAAGAGCTGAATGATAAAACAGTTTAGAAACGTGTATTAAACACAATACAAATTTCTCAATAAACATGATAAATGAACAAAAGCTACACTTCAGCTTACCTTATGCCTCTTAGGTGGAGCTGAATACATTTGTAATCTGCATTTCCCGCCTCGTTTTGCGTTCTGAAGAACTAAAAGGGACGACCGTTTGAGTCGTTGCTTAGTAACACATAAAAAAAACTGCTGTATTTGCGGCGCCACTCGTTTTCAAAATACGAGTCCCACATACAAAGTTGGTTTAATACAAATTTTCAGACACTTATAAATGAAGGGAGGAAAATCATTGATGTTGTAATCTTCAAATGCTCAAGACGTAGAGATGAGTAGAATGTGACCTAAAATACATGTATGGGCAGTGTTCAAATTTAACCTAGTTACTTTAGCTGTCATAATTTTAACTATACAGCAGGGAACACCAGCAGTCACAGAACTACAACATAACCCGATCCCATCGAAACACTACCCTCTCTCACACACACACTGCACTTAATGTTGTGTAGATTACACTACCTATTAGAGTATGTTTTTACTTTCGAAATGGGGTGTAAATTCATCCTATTTGACGTTTTAAATTCTTTTGAACATAATCAGGTGCTGCCTGTCATGGAGACAATGCTTCAATGTTTGTTCTTGCTGTCATTTGTGCTATACACTGGTCACTACTAAGTAGTGTAGATAAGTGTTAAATAAGTTCCACATAAAATTTACGTTTCAAAACGACCCAAATTTTGTCATCCCGCTGCCAAATTATTACCCACATCAAATTCAAAACTGCCCAATCTGACAACACTAAGCATGGGCTGTAAATAATGTAAGTCGGTCTTGTTCTAAATGACCTGCTTTTCACTGGTGTTTTACACCAGGAATTTACATGAGAAGAGGAAATAATTGTGTTTGAGGCTCATGGTATAAATAATTTCCATGTTCTGAACTTGACTATTAATTGACCTTGCCCATATTCCCAGGTTTTCTTTAAATGGTACATTCAATTTGAATATAAATGCATTACCTTTATATACCTAAAGATGTTAGGTGACCACATTTTATTTTAATGAATATAACTGTTTAAAAAAAATTTACCAAAATATATTGTTTACATACTGAGAAAAATATTTATTTACAAAGAGGTATACTCATTTATGCTGTGCACTTTTATACAGGCGCATTATATAGCGCCAGAAAAGGCAGATGAAATTTACCTTTGTAGCTAGCAAATTCTGGTACAGTTCTTTGATTGTCCTTGTCAAACTTTCAATTCAATTCACTTTTATTTGTATAGTCCTTTTACAATGTAGAAATGAAGATTTTTTTTTTTTTCAGTAATTTTTAGATTTGTGTGTTTTCAGGTCTCTAAAGCAGTTGTTAGGTAAAAAGTAGGGTCAAACTGCATAAAACATTTTCTGCACGATGAATGATTTTAAGAAATCTGCATTTTTAAGTGGTCTTTCCCATGCATCAATAAATAAATATATATTAATATTTATTTTAATAGATTTTTGTTTGTGTTTTAATCTATTCACAGGGATGTTTTTCCTACGGTGATTGAGGCCAATGTTACATATTTGTTCACACCACAAGACAGCAATGGCTCTGCGGGTGTTTTAGTCAGCAGTCTTTACTTACCTTTCCCCACACCAACTCCAACCCTCTTTAACACTACAGTCGCAGGCAACAGCACAAATGCAGCATGGGTTGTGGCTATCATTGTACCCTGCGCTATTGTCATTATGCTTGTACCTTGTTGGATTCTCCTTTGCGTAAGTATTATGATGACTCAATGTCAAAATTGTGCATTGCGGAAGAGATTAATAATGAAATGTTCTTTCCTTAATCTGCCTATTAAATGTGATTTATAATTGGGACTATGATTATGCACAGCTAATTACAAGTGTTTTACACCTACTTTATCTGTTTATGTCCTCAGTGTTTGCTGTGTGGTTGCTGTGCAGCAATCAGAAGACGCTGGCACAGGAGACGGTCTTACAATGTACAGTACACCACTCGAAACAGCCTCTTCTAAAGAGTTCAGAGATATTTAATGACTAAAACCGGACTGAACAACTATCAGAAATCATAATTTAATCTTTGGATTTTGGGTATTCATTGTGTGATATTTTTTTTGTTGCTTTTATGAATGTACTTTTATGAATTATTTAATTTATTTTGCCTGTATTATTAGGCAGACAGGATCTGCATAAAATGTTCCTAAATGTGATGTTTTCATACTTTCTCTGTAGTGTATTATGAAATTGTGTTGTTATTTATTTTTATTTATTTATAATAATCTGCAGAGTTTACAGTTAATGATTTTAATATACTTCATATGACAAAACACCTTTAATAGGGAGAAGGGTAGAATATTTTTAAATGAAATATTTATTTATTCATACTCCATGCACTTTATAGATGTAATACAAATGTTGTTTTAATCTGTGAAAAATGTAATAAAACAAATTAATAATTAAATCAATATAAAATGTTTGTGTTTCTGTTCATAATATCACCATAAAGTTTGCTTATGATTGTTGTTAATCTTGTACATCAATTTATGCATCATTGAAGAAGTTTTTCTTAGTTCTGTTACATTTAAACTTTTTTTTTCTCTGTTCATGCAATGTTTCTCTTGTACTAAAAATCTATCCATTTTATTATTGTTTGACTGAACAGGGTAAAATAAAAAGCTTTATAAGACATGTGAAGGCAAGTGTGCCTAGGGTCAATTGCATACTTGGCATTTGTTCTTCATAGGCATACTTAGTTTACAATACATTGCTAGTATTGAATCAAGTTTATAACTTGAGACATGCTTTTACTTAAAAATGCTGGAACTTTAAGTGCTGGTCAGGATCAGCATATGACTAGCAAAATCAAAACATACAGTACCAGTATACTTTTCCATAGAGACATCAGAAATTACTTGGCAACAACAAGAATGTAAATACATTTTCATCATGTTTTAGGAATTTTAAGTGGCATAAAACCCATTATATAATACATAGGCCTAAACAAACCTTCAAATATAAATGTAAATCTGCAAATTATAGAGCATAAGAAAAATCTATTAATAAAATAAGAGAAAACCCAGATTAAATAAGAACATGCATTAAAAAAAAACAACAACAAAGAATCAACATTCATTCATTCATTTTCTTTTCGGCTTAGTCCCTTTGTTAATCAGGGGTCGACACAGCGGAATGAACCGCCAGCTTATCCAGCATATGTTTTACATAGTGGTTCCACCTCCAGCCACAACCCAACACTGGGATTTATCCATAGACACTCTTTCACACACATACACTATGGCCAATTTAGTTCATTCAAATCACCTATAGAGCATGTCTTTGAACTGGGGGAAACCTGAATCCCTGGAGGAAACCCACTCAATCATAAGGAGAACATGCAAACTCCACACAGAAGTGCCAACTGACCCAGATGGAACTTGAACCAGTGACCTTCTTCTTGTGAGACGATCGTAATACCCACTGTGCCACTACGACACCAAAAATTAATTTAAAAAATACAATTTTATCAATATTTAGTAATAAAAAAAACGAAATGATAATAAATAAAAATAATAAAAATCAAAAGTGATTGCTGATTAAAAACCTGCATAAGCAAAAAAAAAAAAATGTTGAAGAAAAGCACTTTATGTAAATGTTGATCTATTAATACTTTCACTTCAAACACAGAAAAGCCTGGTCACTTCTTTTTTTGGTTGCAAAATTATTAAAAAGTCTTAAAATTATTAAAAAATTAACCACTTTATTCACTTAATTGTGAAATGGTGCTAAAGTAAATTTTGCTAATATGGCTAATCTTCAAAAAATGAGTTCCAATTTTGTCCACTGTTATTTAAATCAAGAAGACTAGAAAATGGCTTAGTTGAAACAAGCTGTTAAAAATAATGACATTAGTCTAAATGTAAGTAGTAAGAGTGAAATCAAGAGTTTTATTAAGAAAAGAATAAAGAAAAGGTGACAAAAATATATTGGTTGATGAGAAAGAGGGCTGGTGGTTTTACAGAATTCAAAAGAAAGTAGAAGAAATGAGAAGTGTAGGGAAAAAGGGGGAGAGGAGATCATAATACCAATAGGGTAAGATTTGGACACAAAATTAAATAGCATACTTTTTAAAATGGGCAAACATGGTATAGGAGTTTATGAGTTTATGGATAAGAAGAAACAGTTGAACACAGGCTCGTAGTCAGCCTATTAAAAGGGGTGGTCCTTTGTTCTTATAAAGTGGACCTTTTTGCAGTTATTGGAGGTTTAAATACTGCATTTTAGTGACATTTTAAGCTGTAATTTGTGCTGGAATAGCCTGTCGCATGGTTGTCATTACCACATTTTTTGATGGAACAAAAATACTACCTACATTTTTGTCAAAGTGTTTATCATACTATTTTTTGTTTACAAAAATGTATGTTTATTTACAAATGTGCATTTAAACTGTAAGTTATTACAGTTTTATACTTAATGTAATGAGATTAAAATTTTAGAACTATGAAAAAATACTTTAATAATATTTTAAATGCTAATTTATTATCAGCCATTAAAAAAACAAACAAATAGCAACAACAAAATTAGGACTCTATTAAAATTCGTTTTAAATAAAAAATCTAGCCTATGGGCAAATAAAAAACCGTACAGCTCATTTCCTCAGTCGGAATTTGTCCATTCAAGTAATAAACGGCTAATGTTATTTGTTATTGTTATTTGTTATTCTTCTCAAAGCCTCCATTAATCAACAACTCATCTATTGGTTATTTTCACTGTCAAAAATGAAACAAACAAGCTCGTAAGGGCCAAATTCTGAACTTTGTCAGAAGGAGGGTGGGCCTTTCGAGATAAAAGTTTTAAATTAAGTAACATTCTTCAAAATAACTCCTGAAATAAATGCTATACCTTTTTTATTGCTGATTAATTTTATTATCTTAAATATACTCATTTGTGGGAGAGAATTTTATAAAAGAAATGGGTAGGTGAGAGTGAGGAGGGTAAAGTCATAAATATCCAAACTCCATACCAGTTGGTGGCGGAAACACAGAATTCTGTTGTTTGTCAACCGCCAATAAATTGAAGAAGAAGAAGTGGAACGCAGGTTGAATGAGAACTTTTATCTTAAAATAGCACAAGCGGATGTTGTTGACACACGGGACAGCAGCTTCCCGTACACACACATTTTCATTTGGACGGATTTGTTTTAACACAATGGCGAATATTATAACGTTCCAAACGCAAATCACGTCAGTTATTGAAGTTCTCGCAAACGCCGCTGTGGCAGAAATCTGCAAACTTGTTGAGGACAGCTATGCCGATTTACAGCTTGAAATATCTCAAACGCAAAAGGAAAATAGCCTGCTTAAAAAGAGATTGAAAATGATAGAAATCCGGGATTCGTTTTATCGAAGGGCAAATAAACTGAGGAACGAGTCGACTGCCTTAAACAAAACTAGTGTTCGCGAAAAACAGTCAGGTAAGTTAAAGGTGGTAACGTTGGTAATGGTCATGTAGGCTAGTTAGCCACTAACGTTACTGACTTGTTTCGAACCAACTCTAATAACATTCAAAACTATGGTTATAACGTGCTTATTACTCGTGGTGAAGGAAGGCATTGTGTTTTTCTTTTCTTCAGGACGAATCAGCGTAAAAGTGTCTTCTGTGTGTTCTGGTGCTAATCATGAAGAAGGACATGTTCGCTCTTCAAACTCCTCAGTTTTACAACAACAACAAAGGCTTGACCAGGTCTGCACAACCAACACCTGGAACTGATTATATACAGTCAGATTATTTATGTACATTTACTCTTAGCAATTTATTTCTTACCAGTTTCTTATTAGGTGTGAGTTTAAGTAAATTTTTTTATATATGAGCAATTCCATGCAAATGTCAACCTTGCATGAAAAAAGTTTTTACCAAAATAGTATTTACTGTACTTTACAAATACTCAAAATGTCTCTTTCAGTGTTTTCAAATAATTATAGTAGATTGACCAAAATCACACAAGTGGCAATTTCACATCTGTCACATCCATTACAGAGAGGTTTTTCCTTGTAAATGCAAGATTGTCAAATAAGTAAAATCAGTCCTTTTTGTTTTTAAAGAGACAGCTCTTATTCTTTTGATTAGCATTATTTATTTTGGGTTGGTCACTTTAATTCACAGAATTTCTAGAAAGTATACCGTATACTGTAAACTTGCTAACTTTTTTGTCACGTCCATAAAGCATGTTTATTTTCCTCATTTAAATAATTTTTTTTTTATAAATTGATATTTTTCTGACCTCAGTAGTCTGTGGTTAGTAGTTTTGCAAAATATAAACTTTTCAATATAATGTTAACGTATACTTTCTCTTTGAATTTATGTTTTTACTGCAAATGTCACATCTATAACACTGGAATTGCACATTTGTTTTATTCTGTTATGGTTTCATAACATTTCTTTTTGAATAAATTTATTTTTAGACATCAAAACCATTGATTTACTTCCAAAGAGTTTATAAGTGAACATTTGGTGGTAAGGCCATAATTTTCAGTCACAAAAATGAAAATATTTATTGTTTTGACTCTCAACAAATAAATACAAATAACAATAACAATAAATCTTATTTTTAATTTAAATTTAAACCAATATTTCTAGAATAAAATAATTTATTTTATTTACTTTTTATTATTGTTATTTGCTTGTTCACACATATCTAATACAGGGTTTCTGCATGGACGTAAAAAGTCTTAATGTCTTAAATCTCAAAATCCAAATTATAGGCTTGTAAAAGTCTTAATTTTACAGAAATATTGTGTTGTAGGTCTTAAATCTTTTATTAACAGGTCTTAATTTTTCTTTGTTCATGTGTTGCCACCAAATCTGACCAAAACCCATGCAATTATCGACAATAATCTCAATAAAACTTTAAACTTTTTATTTAATTTTATTCAGTATTTTATTTATTTTAATTTTAGCTTTATTTATCATAATAGTTTAATTATTTTCCTTACAATAACATTTGTTTAAAAGTGCTCCTTGTGTTTACAGCTGAGGATACTGGCCTAGACAGATTGTTGTGCATCCATTTAGTTTATTCTAGTTTTTAAATATTTTTTAAGTTTATGTTGGGAAAAAAAAGTGTATGGATACAAACTTGCTTGTTTACACAATATTTAAAATATTTTGCTAAGAAATAAAATCTAAAATATTCTATTTATAATATTATTATTATTATAAATAATTATTAATAAATGTATTAAATTATCTATCTATCTATCTATCTATCTATCTATCTATCTATCTATCTATCTATCTATCTATCTATCTATCTATCTATCTATCTATCTATATAAATTCATAGGGCATTTGGGCCATTCAAAAAATTCCTTAGCCTTTAGCCCTTTATGGGTCTAAACTTTCATTCATAATGGTCTTAAGAATGTCTTCAAGTCTTAAATTGAGTTAGGTGAAACCTGCAGAAACCATG